TAAAAGTGCCAGCCTATTTCAATCCTGGAATGCTGGACGGAGTTCCTCAAAGCAATAAAAGGGCCATTCCCAGAACTTAAGTGATTACTGGAGCCAAAGTGTGAAAAACCAGGCAGAGGCGTGAAGGTGCAGCCTGGGCAGTGACAGCACAAATATCCCGCACCGTACTACCATTATGTGGCAACCCTCCCTTGGAGGTATCACCTGGAGGAGCAAATGTATGATTCAGTTTCCACAATCCATTCCTTCCTTGGCGTTATGGCTGAGAAACTGAACAGCCTCCCATTTGCTGTCTGCTAAACACCTGCTTTCTCTTCTGTCAATTTCCACCTGTATACGCTGTATACCCTTTCAGAAAGTCTTTTCATGGTACATTATTTGGAGCCGGGGGTGTTTGTTGTGTGGATTGAGAACAACAATTTCATATAAGCCCAAAAAAGAGCCATTAGATGGTAATTTATTTACCTATCTAAATATTTGCAGTGCAACCAGTGCTGTGGTATCTGAGCACTAATTCATTTAAGTGATTAATATCTTGACCTGGATTCAAACCAGCATCCTCACCAGCCCCCGATTCATGCAATCCTCCATTACAAGTTCTTTGGCCTTTGGAAGATATATGTCATTTCTGGAAAACATCATCTGGGATCATTTGTTACAAAATTATCTTGAGAATAACTGTATGTTTCTAAATATAATGCTCATCACTTGCATTATAGCACGTTACATCTTCCAATTGCTGGCTTGCTAGCAAAGAAACATAAATGGGTGTACTTCAGATATTGTAGATCTATAAAGGTACTTATGTGCCTAACTGCCACTTTTGGCCCCTAAATCCAACATTTAGGTACCACTGAGATCCTCAGAATCCCTGCTTAGCTGCCACCTAATGCTGTGGGTGCCTAAATTCCCTAAGTGCCTCAGTTTCTGTAGGCAGGCATGTGTGAAACTGCTTAAATCCTGATGCTGCCAAGCTGCTTGGCACCCGGTCTCACAGCTAAACCGTGGAGGGAATCTCAGTCTAGGCATTCCCTCCCGACCCCTCGCCGCTGATCTCATCTGTGGGGCCCAATCCGGTAGGTGTTCTCTGAGCATGCCTACTGGATCAGGCCTCACACGAAAGATGACACTGGGCACACAAATCAGGAATAATAGGCTAGAGGTCATAGTACTCACCTGGGATGTGGGAGATCTGTTTCAAGTTCCCCCCTCTACCTGATTGGAGCAGGGTCTTGAACCTAGTGTCCCCATCTCTAATGTGATTGCCCAAGCCCCCCCTATGCTATTGGGTATTCTGGGGTCGGTCTCTCGGTCTCTCCTATTGAAATGGTTCCACTTCATATAACTAATTAAATATTCATTGAGCTAGCAAGAGATTGGGCACTCACCTGGAATGTGGGAGACCCAAGTTCAAGCCCCTGCTCCAAATGAAGCTGAGCAGGGATTTGAAAGCAGAGCTCTCATATCCAAGGTGAGCTCCCTGGCCACTGGGCTGTTGGCTGTAATGGGTGCTCACTCTCTCTGATTTCTAATGAGAAAGGACAGACCTGGCTTTGGCACTTAACTCCAGGACAGGGTTCAAAGCTGTGAATGCTGAGAGGAGATTGGTGCCTAAACTACAATCCTCGCCATCTCCTATTGGCTAACTCAGGCTAGGTCTACACTACAGCGGGGGTCCGACCTAAGATACGCAACTTCAGCTACGTGAATACCGTAGCTGAAGTTGCGTATTTTAGGTCGACTTACCTGGCTGTGAGGAGGGGGAAAGTCGACCGCTGCCGCGCTGCCGTCGACTCCGCTGCCGCCTCTTGCCGCGGTGGATTTCCGGAGTCGACGGCAGAGCGATCAGGGATCGATTTTATCGCGTCTTCACTAGACGCGATAAGTCGATCCCAGAAAACCGATTGCCTGCCGCCGGACCCTCCGGTAAGTGTAGACAAGCCCTTAGGCTCCTGGCTTCGGGAGATCACATTCTGAGCATCTAACCCTCTTCATGCATCATACGGGAGCCTGGGCACCCAGCTCAAGGCTGAGGATTTAATTGGGCAGCAGGCACCTAAAAGTTAGGTGTTGTGACCCCTAAATCGCTTTTTGGATCTAACCCCAAGTGAGTACAATATTCTGGTTAAATTCATGCTAGACAAAACTGTGGTCCCTATGGGTTATGTGTCTGACAACCAGAACAAGGCATATTGAACTGACATGCATTTAAATGCAGCTAGATATATGAAGCTACTTACTGATGGAACACCAATCACCTGTTTTAATAGTTAAGATCTCTTAATCCCTTTCACAGCCTTCTTACTGACAGATTTTCACATGTGGATCTTTAAAGTATGTTTACACTGCAGCTGGGAATGTGCTTCCCAGTGTAAGTAGAGAGATGTGCTAAAAATAGCATTGTGGCTGCGGGGGCATCTCAAGCTAGCCACCTGAGTATGTACCCAGCAGGTCAAGCAGGTCCCATAGCTAGCCAGAATTACTGCCCATGCTGCCATGGCCACACTGCTATTTTTAGTGCCCTAGCTCAAGCAAAGCTGGTGCATGTCTGTTTACCCAAGCTGGGAATCACCCTCCCAGATGCTGTGTAGACATATCTTAAAAAGTGCTATCTTTAACTCCACAAACATTATGGTATTCAAAGTCTTGCCATTCTTTTGCATATATATGCATGCAGATCACCAAATGGATAGCATCTATCTGTGACTGGGTGGGTGTGGTGATATCTTTTATAGGGCCAACTTCTATTGGTAAGAGAGAGACAAGCTTATGAGTTTACACAAAGCTCTTCTTCGGGTCTGGGAAAGGTACTCAGGGTGTCATAGCTAAATACAAGATCAAACAGATAGTTTAGTCTCATAGTTTAGCATATCTGTTTGATTTTGTATTTAGCTGTGACACTCTGAGTACCTTTCCCAGACCTGAAGAAGAGCTTTGTGTAAACTCAAAAGCTTGTCTCTCACCCATAGAAGTTGGTCCAATAAAAGATATTCCTTATCTCTCTAATATCCTGGGACTAACATAGCTACAACAACACTGCATACAGCATCTGTGGCTATAAGTCTAATTAATTGTTAGGGTACCTAGAGCTTTTGTACCGGCAGTTTTTATTTTATCTTCTTTTCAAAATTGAACCCTATGGACTCAGACCTGCATCCCTTATTCACATGATTAGTTCTTCAATGGGACTATTCAACAGAGTGCATGTTATGGGAGTACTCATGTAAAGGTTGGACCCAAGATGTTTTCCCCTACTAATATTATCCTTCACAGGGCTAACATTTATCTATTTCCTGTGTTTGTCATTAAGCTGTAAATTAGCATGCCTTTTTTTGCTCACTTCCTTGTTATACATCAGCATCCTTGATGCCTGACTGATGTCTGTACAGTTGGGGAAAATAATAGGCCCAATCCTGCAGTCCTTACTAGGGATTCAACTCAGGAAGGAAGAAACACACCATCTGTGCTGGCTGGTTTTCACCCGATTTGGCAAATTGAGGGTTTGGATGCACGTGGTGAGTTGTGACCAACCACTTGTTGGAGGGACCCACACCCCCAGAGCTGACTGCCAGATAATGGAGCTGTATACAGGGTGCCATCATAACAGCACCATTCCATAATTCCATGTGTGATTTTTTGTTGATTTTTTTTCAAATTTTTGGTGCAATTTCCAGTAAGATCAAATTCAAAAAAAGAGACAGCAGCAAATAAACAACAACCAAAGATGCTGTTACACTCATTCTACAAGTGCTTACGCTGCCAAATTCTGCCTTTCAGAACACCTGATGCCATATAAACACGGACTTATTGAGATAAAATATTTTAAGAGATACTGATGCTCACATTCCTGTTGTGAACCACAGGGTGGGTTTTTATGTGTCTATTTCAGCTTTCACCATATTAAGCAGGTAACAGTGCTTAAACTAAAGCTTAATGTTCTATTATTCAGACACTACATCACTCTTCAGCCTGAGGATATTGATCTCATTTTGGTTGGTCTGAACTAGGAGAACTGTTTTGAATGTCCCATTTTGTAGCTAAGCAGGGTGGAGTGGCAGAGAATCAAAACCAGACCCGCAGAAAAAAGACCAATAATCCAAGTCTATGCCATCCTTTCATAATTCCTCTGAGCGCTATTAAACAGCTACTGACTGCAAACCTGGACATATGGCTTCAAGTTGTTCAGATCCTCTAGTGATCGTTTATAGAGAGATTGCACGTCAGTATGCTAATGATCAGGACCCTTTCAGTCACTTAGCCAATAGATCGTATACTAACTGCCTCGGGCGCTGAAAGTATTTAAAAAGAAACCCACACACACAACTTGGATCGTTTTACAGCAAACCACCGCACTGGCGTAGACATATTCCCCTCCCCCCACACCACACCAACACGCTGAAAAACTAAGTGTAGAGTTAATCAATCTACCAGCTTCTGCTGATCGATTGTTAATAGGATGGAGTCAGGCGTAGAAAGGTCCCTTTGGGCTCCATTATTTAACATGCCTTTCCTGCTGCCCACTCTATAGGGCATATTGCAGTAGCCTTTTACCCCCAGCTGCCTGCCGAGAGATATTCTTCACCGAGGACACCAGAGCCAGACGTCACCTCTGTGTCCACCCCTACACCACCCATGTACTAGAGACAATGATCACCAGAAACAACAAAGGAGCCACGCATAAAATAAAACAAACAATGCACCAATGCGGTGAACCCAGCCATCCCAGACAAGTTTGCAATGGAAATACTAAAATACGGGGGGAGGGGGAATAGGTCACATCGGGAAAAAAAGGTTTGTCTCGCTTCTCCTTCCCCCAGATCCTAGTAACATTTCCGAGCTTCAAGACACCGGTAAGACTAAATGAGACAGACTGAGCAGTGCACATGGGGAGCAGGCTGTAAAGAAGCATCTACTCCAATTCCGAGCCAAACACTTTCCTCCCAATCACACGCAGGAGGAATAATAATACCAGCAAGAATCATAAAGTCAGGAACACCAACCTTGAGGATCCCAGTTCACCTGTTTCCTTGGAGTCTCGATTGGAAATTTCATCGCTTCCTTTTGCACAGGGAGGGAAATGAATTAAATAAATTTCCCAACCTTCCTGTCTCGGTGCTGCAGTCAAACAAATTAATTTCAAATGATGGGCAGTCTGCGCCGTTTGACTGAGGGAAACCGGTGGTTGCCAAGCAAAGAAACATACAAATACAAGAGGGAAGGTGGAAAGAGGGAATGGAGGTTTTAGGGTTGGAGAGTAAAGTGGGGGAGGGGAACACCCAGATTGGGGAGGGGGGGAATAAAGTGAGAGGGGGTCTGAGTGAAAGAGGAAATACAGGGGCTGCACTGAGATGGGGCGTCAGAGCCGAGGTGTTGTTCGCTCCCGAGCGGGGTCCTTCAGCAGCTGGCTCGCCCAGTCCATTTGCAGTTGTTCCGGTAGTGGTGGTGGGCTGCCCACTGCAGCATTACACATTTGACTGGTGTACACGTGAGTGTATCACAGGCTAGCGAGACGCAGACCTGAGGGTGGCAAGGAAAAACAGCCAGCCTTGTTCCCTCCTAGCTACTGCGTCTGGTGAGAAGGAAGCGCACACACACAGACCCCCGCCCCCACTCCACTCCCTCCAACCTCAGCACCGCCAAGAACCAGCCCAGCTCTGCGCCAGGCACTAGTAGCAAACAGAGAAGTCATCCGGCTGATGTGGGAAGCTGCAGCAGCATGGCTCGTGGGAGGGTGGGGGAGACCATCCCATCTGAATGCAGCAGCGGCTCGTCGTGCGGCCAAGGCGAGGCAGCCAGGAGGAGGAGAGCGCTCTATGGCTTTGGTGGGAATCCCGGGGAGCTCCTTCTCTGCCCGGCTGGGGCAGCGGCTCGGTGAGTTCGAACGGGAGCCAGCAAGGCAAAGGGAAATCGACTCCCTTTGTGAGGAGAGCCCAGGAGCTCTGATCGCAGGGTGCTCCGGGGGGAGCGGGGAGGGCTCTCGGTGAATACTTACTGGATTCTTTCCCTAGAGGAGGAGGAGGAGGAGGCTGCAGTGTGTTGTTTGGTGGAGTTTGCAGCCGGAGACACGCTTGACTAGCTACTAACAGCAGCAGCACATGGCAGGAGCAAGAGCAGCGTTGGGAGTCCTTGCAGCAAACGGGTGGGCTTTATCGTGCATCCTCCAGCCCAGTGTGCTAGGTGGGAACCTCACAGCAGGGGCAACATTCCATCCAGGACCCTTCCCCTGTCCGCCCCCTTTAAGATACCTACAAAGCGCTGGCACCGGGCAAATCCAAGCCAGAGCCAGGCGGTGAGGTTCAGCTGGCTCTTGAGTAGCCCGGTGGGAGGAGGAGGTGAGCAGAACTCGATGGGAGCTGTGTGTTCCTTTGCCCTTCAGCGCCCTGAGGGGCCCCGGGGTGGGAGACGGGGACTCTTGGGCTGTATTTTCTGTCGCAGTTACTAGACACCTGCTGTTCGCCTGCTAATTCTGCATCCTTCCTCCTCTCTCCCTGCTCCAGGTGACAATCCTTTGACATCCAGCCAAAGATAGGTGGGCCCCGCTCAACTCCAGGAAGGAGCGGCTGGATCTTGAGCTAAAATCACAAAATATTTGTGTTAGACTCTCCCACAGAGGGGTTGAAAACGATCGGAGTCCCTCCATGCGCGAGGTTAACCCTGCGCTGTCCCCTTTCTTTGACAGTGGAGACCAACCCCTTGTTGGCACGGAACAGTCATGCTCTGAAAAGAAATGGGGGTGAATAGGGAGGGGGACCAGCTGGCTTCCTGAAGCCTTCAAACTTTCAGGGCGTGGGTGTCTCAGCAATCTAGATCTGCATGGTAGATTTCAATCATTAGGGGCCTGGCTCTGCCAGGGGCTGGATCAGAACCCCCACTCCCTCCATCAGGGGTACAGGAACAATCCGTATAGTGGGGGTACTGAGAGCTATTGAACCAAACTGTAAACCCTGATGGTGGAAAGCACTTCAAGCCAGGGGGTGTGGCAGCACCCCTAGTTCCTGTACCCCTAGTTCCTGCACCTATGCCCTCCATTGTCAGGAGAGAGGTTCCCAATTCAAATCTGAGCCAAGCTGGAAATTGTTCATTTGGCCCCATCTCTGTGGTTGAACGATTCCCCTCTGCGGCTGCCCTTCTGAAGCTGCCCTGGTTACTGCGCCCGGGGTTAGACCTGGGTAAGTGATAACATGAAATCCCTGTTGTAGAAAACCAAAGTTTAATGAAGAGTGTGGTGGCCAAACTTTCTCCTCCTGCAAACTGCGGTTCTGGCTAGTAACAGAACCTGAATTTTGTTTTTTAAAATCAATTTCAGAAGCATTTGTAAATGCCCCAATCTTTGTCCACCACTGAACAAGAAGAAAGAAAAACCAATAGTGTGGCACCTCTTTAAGTTTCTTTTGTTTGTCTGGGGGCAAAGCCCCTAAAATGAGACTTAGTTTTAAGAAACTAGTTTAAAGTAGCGCAGCAAGTTTTCAAGGAGTTAGGCCGTTGACTTCCTTCCTTTTCCCTAATCTCAAGTCCCCTGCAGTTTGTGGTGTGTTGAACAGGAGGAGAGGAAGTTGCTGTGAGGGAAGACATGGAGAGAATGATAATGAGCCTGTTCAGTCAGACTTGAATTTAACATGAGTGCAGTGATGACACCAGAAGCAGGGAGTATTTCCTGGGAAAGCGAATCCCGCTGCATTCTGAAGAGGCTTTGGGATTCCTGTTGACATTACTTCAACAAACTGAATGGAAACAAAACTCAGATTAGGTTTTACATCTGTGCTGTACAAACGCGTTACAATGACTTTGACCATGAATAAGAAACCTTTGATGATTCAGGTATGTCCTTGCTTAGGCAAGCTGTTGAGAAGAATTTCAAACCCAGTGTCCACACATCACTAAAGGACTAATGATGCCATGCAAAAGTTTTTAAATGAACTTTTGCGCTGTTACCTTTTACTCTCTAGCACTCATGAAAGATGCCATCTTGACACCCCTGCAGATTAAAGCCTTTATTTCCCCCACAGAACAACCCAGCAAGCTTCACCCCCACACCTGTGAACTAGAAGTACCACCTTTAGCTATCTCAGTCTCCATAGCCCCTTTACTACTTCACCTTTCTGCTATGACTGCCAGCAGTTGCTGTGGTGGATTCTGTGCTGTGGACATCTGTCCTCTGAGAACTGGATTGAGATCACCAAACTCATTTTACAGAGGCTACTGGAAAACCAACAGCTTTCAATTACTGCCAGCTGGGGCTGGATTTAAATCTGTAGCGTAGAGGTGAACATTTCATGTACTCCATTACCAAACTCCTGAGACATCTGGACCCTGATTGTCAGTGTTACCTTATGAAGAGGGATTTTCATATGTTCATATTCATGTTTTAGTAAAACTGACCTCAGGGAAGTGCCTATATATTTTTGACTTACAGTATCTTAAAAACTCTAATTTTATAATACCACATTCCTGTCTCCTGACTCTCACTGTTGTAAATGCACTTCCCAAACAGCATCTGCAAACTCTATATAAACATTTGTCTTGCTATCAGCCATATGGTTTAAGAGACTTGTGGCAAATCAATAAGGTTCATTTAAAAATACAATCAGATACTGAACCACATGATGTCATATAACTTCTTTGCAATTAGTTACCATGTTATGAGCAGACAAATCTTGCTCAATTATTTCAGTGCCTCAGAACTGTGATTTCTACTTAGGGGACCAAATTGATACCTGGATGTAACTTCACTAAAATTAAGGGGGTTACACCATGGATTAATTTAGCACAATGAAATCACCTCTCACAGCCTATGCAGCTGTTGCATAGGAACTTAACAGTCATCATATGTAAATATGAGACGTTTCACCCTTTAGTGATATGGATTTCTAAGGAAAGAGCAAGCTTGTGTCTTGAAGCATAGTGCCTCAAGCTGTTGCACCTCTTATAAATGCAGCAGTCTTAGTACTGCTTACTACCTACATTGTCTTTTAAAAATTTCAATTAGTGCAGGATCCATCTTACTACTTGCATAAGAGTATGTAGGATTGGGCCCCATAGCAATAGCTCAACAAGTTGGTTGGGTTTAAAACTGTATTTTCATTTAAGGCCTAATAGGAAGAGGTGCTGAGTGCCCTTAACTTCCATTTGAGTCAGTGGGAGTTGACACTCAATGCCTTACAGGGTTGGCATTACAATCCTAAGTGTCATTTTACTATTCATTAACAATATGGCATGAGTGATTTAGACACTGTTGTGATGTAACATATGGAAATTTGCAGTGGTGCAGGTGAATAAATATTGCTTATTCATACTTAGATCCTAAAGGGTGAATTTGGGAAGAAGAATACTGAAAGGTTTATTGATGCAGGAAATAACAGTTGATTTCTATATAAAATGCTGCCATTTCTTTGATGCATTGAGAAAACCAGACATGATTAGATTTAAAATACATATCAGTCTTTAAGACATCATGCTACTGCTATTAGATGATCTGCCCATTTTTCAAATATGAAGACTAAATATAAAATTGCCTTCTGAAATTTGGCATCTCTGATTGAGAAGATTGTTCCATGTGTCACGTTTGCTGTAACTGCTCTCTCTGGTCATGGAAAAGCTGTAATACATCTAGACCTTCTGCTGATATCCCACTGAGCTGTTTCATGTTGTGAAAATCCAAAATGAAATGACTAAAAAATAAAAACCTGAAATGGAAAAAGAGGAAAGGAGACACATGACATTGCTACAGAGGAAAAAAAACTATTTTAAAAAAAGTTTACTCTGTACTCCCCACATAACTGGCATGACCTCACATTGCCCATTCTTCAAATTCCTCCTCAAATCTCTCTCTTAACTTAACCAAACTTAACCAAAACAAAATGAGTAAGGGAGCTAACATCAGAGACGAGATTCTCAGTAACAGGGATGCAGTTGGGGGCAAGGGCAGCTTTAAGCCACTTTTGCTCTCCCCATATTCTGGGGCCATGCAGGGCCCTTGTGTGAATTAGAGCTGCTGCAGGACTCTTAATTTACACTCTGGCCAGAGAATAAGCACAGTGAAGTGCACTCTGGAC